TTCATTTTCTTATTATCAATGTTTTATTCCTAGTTTGTAATTTTTATTTAATTAACTCCTCTTAAAAAAANAAAAAAAAACTGAAAACATATCATGGAAGAAAAAATATTCTTTGTTGGAAAATTATTGTGATAATTTTAATTACTTATTCAAATTTCATTTCGTTTAATTAGTTTCATTTTTCACTTCCTTAATATTAAAGAAAAAAAACGGCAATTGTATTAAAAATTGTATTTTTCTTTTTTTTTTTTGCTATAATGAATTATATCTTATACAATCAATAAAATTTGCTTATATTAAATTAGAATTAAATTCCTATCATTTAACAGCTTCATTAAAGCTAATTAATACCTTCTAATTATTACATTTCTTCGACTAAATTTCATTAGCCCTTTTTGTGGTGAACATGAAAAATTCATTCCCGTTTAAGAGTTTTTCAGTGTTTTTTTTTGTTTTTTGAAAAAATGTTTGCGAAATATAAATATTTGTTATTAATTTCAAATTATTATTTTAACCGGAAAATTTCATTTAATAAATATTTTTTTGTATAAATATACTTCCATTTTCGTTGCACATTTTATACTTTAAATTATATTTAAGTAATTCTATTATTTAAAAAAAGATCGAAAGAATTTTCATCAGATGCTTAATTTGTAGCGTGCAAAATTTCCAAATTTATCTTTTTTTTTTTAATCTATATTTGAACAAAATTTCCAATCTATAATTTCCTGAAATTTTAACAGACAATTAATATTTCAAATTATCTGTTATTGTTAATTGTTAAGTCACTGATAATTTATCCGGTCTTTATCATTTTTACTATCAATGATTATTTGAAAATTCAATTTATCCGGTCTTTATCATTTTTACTATCAATGATTATTTGAAAATTCTAATAATGTTTATCATAGATTAAAAATTTTGAGCATACAAATGTCGGAATAGCATTATAATTTTTTATTTTATTTTTAATTTTTTTTCCGAAAATTTCAAAAAATTCTCAAATGTTTGATAGTTTTTTTTCAAGATGTGCCAAATTTAAATTAATTTATCATAATTAAATAATCATTTAATAAGCTAAATTGATTATAATTAAGAGCATATTAATAGTTTGTCATACATTATTCGCTGTCATATTGTCAACGAAAAATTTGTAACATTCACAGAAATTTTGATACTTCTCATTACAACTTTAATGATTATACAAGTTAATTAATTTTGATGATAAATTAAATTCGCCAAAAATTTTAAACTGAATAAAATTTATGCAAATATGAGCATTAAATTATGTAAATTATTGATTTTTTATTGTTTCATTTTTGTAACATAAAACCACTGATCCATTCAAAAAAAAAAAAGAAAAAAACATCTATCACTGTAAATTTAACCGATCATTTATGCAAAATTTAATCCTTAATTAATTATTTACATTAGCATTTTAATTTAATTTATTCAACAAAATTTTTCCCAGAAGCTCAATGAAATTTAACTCGTTAAATTTTTCAAAAAGCATAACCAACTTTTAACTATCAAAGTTTCAAAGTTTTATTTATTTATTTGTTTTTTTCTGTTTTTAATTTTTTATTTTAAATTATTAATTTTTATATGCGATATATCAGTGAAAGGTGTAAATGTATTAGGAAGTATGGAAATTTTCGATAAGCAATTACCATCTTGTGATATTTGTTTGGGTTCATCGGATTCACAATACATCGTAAGTTAATTTTGCATTATTTTAATTAATTAATTAGTTATATTTGAATTAATTAGATTGATCATATTTTTTCATAGAAATTGAAGAATTGATTTGTTGAGATTAATTCTTTTTTTTCCTATTTCTACCAATTTTTTCCTACTTTTATCTAAATTACATTCAAAATTTACTTTTTTATTCCTCTCAACTTTGAACTTTGAACCAATCAAATTTTTAACATTCAATAAAATAATTCATAAAAAGTGATTAGTTAACGTTGAAATGTTTTTTTTTTTGTTTTTGTAAATTATTTAACTATCAGAAATATTTCAAAATTAAATTGTAAACAGTATTTTAAATAAATTATTAGCTAATATTAATTAAAAATTTGATTAATAAAATTTTGTAAAATTTAAAATAACGATGGGAAAAAAAGAAAGGAAACAGAATAGTAAGTTAATAAAAGATTTGAATATTTCAGAAATATAATTTGATAGTATCAGGTGTAATATTACCAATTATTGGTTTAATTGGAATTATCGGGAATTTTCTGGTAATGGCTGTTTATGGAAGTATCGAACAACGAAGACATTCAACAAATATTTATTTAGCTGCATTAGCATTAAGTGATTTTTGTATGATATGGACAGCAATTATTCTATATGGTTTAGAAGCATGGAGGCATCATGGCCCAGCAGGTAATGAAAATTCGATAAATACAGTAATTGCGAAAAAAGTTTCTTTTTTTTAAGTTACAATTAATACATCAATTAATATTAAAATTAATATTTGTATATTATTGCAAAATTTATTTGAACATATCAATCAATTCATAATGATTTTATTATCTTTGAATAAATTTTAAACTTTAAACTATGATTAATTAATTGAATTACAAAAATTACTTTTGTTAATTAATTGAATGGTAAAAAATTTTTTCTGTCATTAAAATTATTCATCTTTTCATTTATTGCCAATTTCCTTCGTTTACTTTTTTTGTAACATTTTGTATTGTTGTGTAAAATTTTAAATGAATTATGGAAAAATTTGAATTTAAAATTGAAAATTAAATTCAAAATGGATTAACAAATCAAAAATAATTAATTGCATTGGCAATTACAGTTTTGGCAACTGTTTATGGTCGAAGTGCGGAAATTGTTTTTCCAATTAGTACAATCCTACAAACGACATCTGTTTATTTTTGTGTTGCTGCAGCTGCTGATTTTTTTGTTCGAATTGTTTTATCAGCTAAAATTAAAGATAAAATTTGCACTCCAAGGTATAAAGTAATTTAAATTTTTAAAAATAATTAAAATTTACTTTTATAGCATAAATTGTTGTTTAGTTAGTTGAAAATGGATTGAAATAATTTAAATAAATATTCCAATTTAAATAAGCATTTTAATTTAAACAGTTATTTTAAAAACAAATGATTTAAATGAGTGTTTTAAATAAGTATTAGTTTAATTTTAGATCAAACTTTATTCCTTTTTTTTAATAATTTATCACCATAATTATCAATTTTCTTATAATATTTTTTTTCTTTGAATTAAACCATTGATTAGATGATGAAAATCCTGGAAATCAATTTAAATTAATTTAAAATTTTAGAATTAAAAGATTTTTTTTGAGTAAATTTTTTTTTAAAGGAAATTTCTTTTTTTTTTTTTGTTTCTATCTATTTATTTTAAATGACACGATGAAAAATAAAAACCTATTTACTAGTAATCAATTTATTAATCAATTACTAATCAAGTCTATCATTAATCAATTTATCATACAATTATACTGTTTAAAATTTATTGAATAATTTAAATGAAAGATAAAATTTATTAGAGAAGAAAATTAGCAATAAATAGAAATTGTGATATTCAATGAATATTGCAAACAAATAATAACAATAATTGATGAATTTTCCAAAAAGCCATACTATTAATAAATCATATATAAATATGATTAATTAATTAAAATTCAAAAATTATATTCTATTTGTTTTAATAAAATATTGCTTTGTTTGGGGGGAAAAAAAAACAATTTTAATATTTTCGATTTTTCTCAAAGCTATTATTTATGCTAATTTTCATGAAAGAACCAATTTAGATACCAGAATCCATTATTTATGTCTCTTTAAGGACTATTGAAATAGCATTAAATTTAATTGTTTTTATTACAAATTCCATTCCGAATCCTCTCTCTATCTTTCTTTCTCTCTCTCTCTCTCTTTCTCTCTTTCTCTTCATTTCCCTTTCTTTTTCATTACATTTCCTTAATTTTACAATTTATAGAAAAAGTAAAATTTCATTATATATTAGTTTTATTTTCCTCACTTAACAATAGTAAAAATTTGCAAAAGTTTTGCAAAAAAAAATTTTCCATCCAAAAGAATTTCCACCAAATACAGTAATTTATTTTTTTCGTTTTTTTTCTTTTTGTAAATTAAATTAAATTTTACTAAATTTTTTATTTGTCGTATATTTCACAAATTTTTAAATTTAAATTTAAGTTACCTTCTTAAGAAATTTTTCAATCAAATTTTTTATTTTCAAATTTGTTTATTTGAAAATAATTTTTTCTTTTTTTCTAAAATGTAATATTTAAAAATTGTGGAATTTTTAATTTGCAAAAAAATAAAATAAACTTTAAAATGCCATTTTTTCTTTTTTTTCAAAATCAATAAATAAATGTTATGAAAAAAGCAAATATATTTTGCATATATTTGATTTATTTTTTCAATAAATCAAAAATTATTCGCCGATCGATCAATTAATTTAAGAAAAAATTGGCAAAAATGAAGAAAAGCAAAAATATGGCAAGAAATATTTTCATTTATCCTAATTCTATCAAAAAAAAATTATTATCATTTGTTAGCAGAACTATAAGCAAATAAATATTTTGATAAAAAATAAGAAATGCTAGAGGTGAAAAAAGATGATTGATAAGAATTTGATAAGATTTAGTGGCACTGATAATAATTCATTGTGATGAAATTGGTAAATTTGATAATAATAACATAAATATTTGATAACAATGATGAATAATCGATGCTAATCGATTGTAATTTAATAATTTGATAATACTGAATTAATATTTTATCAAGTAAAATTGATATAAAATTTGATAACAATGGTATATAAAAATTTGATAAAATTTGTTAACAATAGCAAATTAGTTGATCGTTGATCGTAATTTAATACTGTTCATAACATTTTCATTGCAAAATTTTGTTATTAACCTATAATATCATACGATTTCATAAAGAAATGAAAAAAAAATTATCAATGACTGATTAAATTAATCAATATTGCTATTTTTTATTATTATATTTTGTTAGTTATAACAAAAAGTAAATTATCAATGACTGAATTGAATTAATCAATATTGCTATTCTTTATTATTATATTTTGTTAATTAT